CTTGGTTCCCTTCTCCTGGAACGCCTCTCAGTGGACTACGGCAAGAAGTCCAAGCTGGGGTTCACTGTGTATCCCTCACCACAGGTTTCAACCTCTGTTGTTGAGCCCTATAACAGTGTCCTCTCCACCCATTCCCTTTTGGAACACACTGATGTTGCTGTGTTACTTGATAATGAAGCCATCTATGACATTTGCAGGCGGTCTCTCGACATTGAGCGACCCACTTACACCAACCTTAACCGCCTGGTTTCTCAGGTATATTTCATTATCTCGTCTGTTAAGTGATCTACTTGTAGCACGGAACGCACAATAATTTGCTTACGGCTAATGATCCAGGTTATATCATCATTGACTGCCTCCTTGAGGTTTGATGGTGCCTTAAACGTGGATGTCACTGAATTTCAGACCAACCTTGTCCCATACCCCAGGATTCACTTCATGCTTTCTTCTTATGCTCCTGTCATCTCAGCTGAGAAGGCCTACCATGAGCAGCTATCCGTTGCAGAGATCACTAGCAGTGCATTTGAGCCCTCTTCGATGATGGCAAAATGTGATCCTCGCCATGGAAAGTACATGGCTTGCTGCTTGATGTACCGAGGTGACGTGGTGCCTAAGGATGTGAATGCTGCTGTGGCCACCATCAAAACCAAGCGCACCATCCAATTTGTTGATTGGTGTCCTACCGGGTTCAAATGTGGCATTAACTACCAGCCTCCAACTGTTGTTCCGGGTGGTGATCTTGCCAAGGTGCAGAGAGCAGTTTGCATGATCTCCAACTCAACTAGCGTTGCAGAGGTGTTCTCTCGTATCGACCACAAGTTCGACCTCATGTATGCAAAGAGAGCATTCGTGCACTGGTATGTCGGTGAGGGCATGGAGGAAGGTGAGTTCTCCGAAGCCCGTGAGGATTTAGCTGCCCTGGAGAAGGATTACGAGGAGGTTGGTGCTGAGTCTGCTGAAGGTGAAGATGGTGAGGAGGGAGATGAATACTAAGAGTTGAATGTGTGTGTTGCTGTTGTCGATTATGCTTTCAAAATCGTTGGGATTATACTTTCCCTATATATTTGCACATCTTATGCTCATACAGCTCATGGCAAATATATAATACTTGTATATTGCATGGAGAAATTATTTCATAGTTTCTTTCTACCAAGTCATTCATGATTTCTATTAAATAGAAGAATTCACATTATTTTTAAATTTTTATATCATTTATACATTAAGTTTATTTTTTTCTAATTAACCTCCTCTAACAAATAATAAAATAAAAAATTAGAATTTAATTATGTTACCGCTCACGAAAAAAAATCACCAAAAAAAACATTAAACCTAATGAAAATGTTAAACAAAATTAAGAGTGTAAATGAACAGAGTGTTTGGTGAACTGTTCGTGAATCGTTCATATAACATTCATTTGTTACGCTAAATAAACAAGTATAAACAAAAAAAAATTATATTCATTTAATAAACGAACGAACATGAACATATGTGTTTTCAGTTCGTTTATTGTTCACGAACAAGCTTGTTTATCAACTCACTTATTTATGTTTATTTACAAGTTGTTTCTCCTTTTCTTTTTATTTTTTACATTTTAAATATTTGTGAAAGTAGAGACTAAATTGATCTTAAGGATTTTAAGCACTAATTGTATAATTTTACCATTTTTCTATAGCTTGCAAATGAATGGATAAATCTAAAAATTGAACATATAAACAAGCGATAAACAAACACTAAACAAACAATAACCGAACATGTTCATGGACATTAAATGAACACATTCGTGGACATATAATATAGAAACAACACATTTGCGAACATTAAATGAACACATTCACGAACAATAAATAAGCGAACATAAACACATTCAAAAATAAATAAAAGAACATGAACACAATGTTAAAAATTTAAACGAACATGAGCCGAACATAAACACCTTTAAAAATAAACAAACATACATGAATAGAACCTTGTTTGTTCAAACTCGATTCATTTACACTCCTAAACAAAATACCCTTAAAAATAAATGAATAATAAACAAAAAAAACATTAAAATGGAGCCAAAAAGTCTTTAAAAATGTCTCTATTAAATGTAAACAAATTTGATATTTGGTGTAAACTAGGGGTGTTCAAACAATTAATTCAGTCATCGACTTAACTGAATTTTCATTAATATAATTAATTAAACTTTTTTCTTTAACCGTTAACTGAACCGAACTTTTTTGTAAATATTAACCGAGCCGAACAAAGTTCGGTTATTTCGGCCGGTTAGTCGAATTAACCGAAATTTTTTACAATTTTTTAATTAGATTAATTTGAATATAATAGAAGTATTTTTTTATTTGGGTTAAAATTTTAATTAGGTATTGATAATTTAATGAGTTTAGTGTGGTTAAAAATAATTGAGTTTTAATTCTTATTGAGTTTGAGTTTAAAATATGTATTTAATATATATAATATATTTCATATTTAATAATTTCGGTTAATTAACCGATTTCGAACCAAATTAACCGTTAACTAAATATTGAAAAAAAATGTTACATGTTTCCCAACATAACTATTTTGGTGGCTGACCGAATTAATTGAACTAATTCGGTTCGATCGGTTAATTCGGTTAAAACTGAAAAGTTAACACCTCTAGTGTGAACCAATACCTGCTAATGTATTTAGATTTAATGCTTGGGAACATCGTGTAATGCTTCCATCGTCAAGGCGATAAACACCGGCTTCACGACAAACTAATGGAAATTAATTGAAAACTCCATAATCACACACTTGCAAGAAGTAAATGCAATTCTTATCAAATTGATTTGGATTTTCCAGTGCAAGGCATCTCCCGGATCCCAAGAACATGACAGATTACCCATATCAGATAACCTAGTTATACACATTGTATCTTCAGTTGTGTGGATCTTGAAAACTTGGAATGTAGCAGCTTGTAAATACAATAATATGCATTCGACGTTATCTTCCTCTTCTTGTTCCCTGGTGTTCATCATGGTATCCCATACTTGAGTGACCATTAGTAGTTGACCATTCTATTCCACCAAATATGACCATCGCAGGCAGTCCTTGTGACACAATTCTCTCATTGGCATCTTCAGCATGAAATAAATAAAGGGGTGGAGGTGTGGAACAGATTAGCTTCAGGTTCATACGATGGCTTCCTATCGTTATGGAATGAGTTTGAAAATGAGCTTGATTATTGTTATTTGCCTCGTCTGAACTCAAAACTCCGGCGTATAATTCTCCATCAAAGAAGGTAATAGTAATACTCCCATAAGAATATCCTTCAACAAATAGTCCTTCAACGACGGTCCAACTCTTGTCCCATGGCCTACACAGTGCCACAATTCTATCGTTTGGATGGAATATTGGCGCAACTATGCATTGCGATGCATCAGAGGAAGATGGTTCAACTGAACCTGTTATGTTAACAGCAGGTTTCCATTCAAAGCTACAATCTTCAAAATTTGATATCGTCGATAATGGAGGAAGCGGAATTTGAGCTCTTAAGATCAGATAGAATAGGAAAATTTGCATATTACCAACAACTTGTGCCCATGACCAGGAAAAGCCAACCTTTGGAGCACCCAAAAAACCAGGAAGAGCCAACCTTTGGGAAATAAACGAGTAATTTCCCTATAACCAGATTAGAAAAAATACGAAATAAAAACGGAAAAATAATACCCGAAATTGATAACGGAGTTCAACCAATTATGCCTACGTCTTCGGACTGCTACAGATCTTTTACTAAAGGGAGAAAATTTACAAGTGTTTACAAAAACACTTGAGAGAGAGCTAGAATGATTTGGAGATTATATTTGAAGCTAAATGGTTATTGTATTTATAGTTAAAGTTTAAGGACTAATCTTGTAAATACCATAAAGTTCAAGGACTTAATTTTGTAATTATCCTTTCACAATTTCAACAATTTGGTGCTGTCCAAATTTGTTGAATTCTTTAGCCACCCATGTGGAAAAAATCAGTCGCTCATGCCTTTGACTTTTAACAATCTCTCACTTGAAGACTGATTTTAATTTGTCTTCACACCTTGATCAATGCATGAGCATTTATGCTCTTGTTACTGTAGCATGCCAACTGAAGTTGAACACAACTTCAGTTTGTCTGTAGTCACCGCCCTGTTGTTATTAGGCAGTTTCTCCGTGATTGTCTTGTTTCTCAACGTCTTTGCTCCCTTCGACTCTTGTCTACTAGTCATTGAAGGATTGTTCCCCACTTGAACATCCTCGGCAAGCCCTTGTTTTGACCCTTCTCTGAAGATGGTCTCTGAAGCCATGTTCTTTACTCGAACATGCTCGACAAAGTCCTTGGACATGGCTAACTCCTCCTGTACTTGGCTTCTACTTGCCTTGGCAGAAATGAATCGTATTGAGCCAACTCTCAACTCCTTCTCGATCATGGGTTTGTCCTCTTCTCTGGAAAACTCGATCCTGGGCTCATCCATCACATTGGATGACTCGGTTCCCCTCGGGTAATTTTGCAATACTTCTGGCATCTTAAGTCTGCGCCCCCTCGTTTGCTCGACTCTTACCCTGACTTAGCATCTTTGACACTTGAACTTGTGCCAAGACTGCACACATCTTCCCCATATTCACTATCTGGTTCATCATTGAGTGGATTTTCTCTACCACTCGAGGAACAACATTCCTCATCCTCAGACTTGCCTTCATCACGGAATCTCTTACCGCTATCCTCGACTTTCTGCTTTGCTTTAGAAGTGTAACACCCCCAACCCATACCCGACCCGGATACAAATCCGAGGTGTCACATTGACTTTTCAAAACCGGTACTTGTACAAACTAGTGAATAATTTTAAAACTTTTATTAAAACAACTGACTAAATTACATAAAAGATATTCATATGATTTTAGAAAAACTAATTAGAGCATATCAAATTCAAATCTTTATTTAGATGGCAACTACCATCCGCATTATAAAATACATTTTATATAATGTTTTCTGATCTGATCTTTGGAAATGAGGAACTAACCTGTCTTGCTTAACTTTTATCATTCTTCCTCTTCTTGGTACCTACGTGTGAAACAATCACACGCTAAGTCGTTGACTTAGTGAGACATATAAAACATATAATAGAAATCATAGTACATTTCATATATCAAAATACATACATATACATATACCATCATTATCGAAATCTCTATTTATCATATGATCTTGTATTTATCATTTCTGTATATCATATAACACATTTATCATTTCACAACTAAACATACATAATATCATATAATTTGTAACACCCCAACCCGTACCCGACCCGGATACGAGTTCGAGGTGTCACATTGACTTTTCAAACTTTGACTCTTGACAAAATTCAAAGAAAATTTAAAACTTTCCTTAGAGTAAAAGCAGTTTAGTTACGTAATTTGACCACAATAACCAAAATCGATCAGAGCATATTGAACTCAATCAATTAGTACATGCCAACTATATTCAAAATAACAAAAATCATTTAACTCATCTATTTTTCTGATCTGAAATCTTGTAAGGGAGATGCTGACTTGCATTGCTCCTCACAGCTTCCATATTCACTTTCTGTAACCTGAGTGTGAAACACTCACATGCTAAGTCGATGACTTAGTGAGGCATAAAGAAAACACATCTAATGGAATTCATACCCACTAATCATGCATGACTGTTTTATGCTATCAAATTATACAACTCATTTACATATACATCAACATATATTCATGTATATTATGTAACAGATACCATAACCCCTATCACACATATATCATATCATGTACACATCATATCACACATCATATACATATATCACATACATTGTTCTCATATCACCAACCTGTTTATCCTTACTAATTCCCTTGTCATTACTTCAATTCCGTCATATGAGCATATAATGAATATAAACATATTATATATATTTTAATAAACCACAATACATTACTAATTTCTATAATCATATAATATATAAAAACATAACATCTCATATCACCATGACATATATGCACTTCTACCATGTCACGAGAAATACACATATCATTATATCAAATTATGTTTTCTTTTCAAAGCCCATGTACACATGTGAGAACTATAGATATGTGAGTCTATAGAGGTTGTGCACTATGCTGTCACCACAGCTCGTATAATTGCACCGAAGTGCCACGTAGAATTGCATCGGAGTGCCGCGTAGAATTGCACCGTAGTGCCATATAATAATGTCCATAAGGACCACATATCATTCCTCAAGAATCATATACATATACTAGGGATCAAGTATGTGTCTCACCAGACTTCACACATGTTCCAAAGAATACATATATGTCCCGAAGGACAACATATCATTCCTTAAGAATCATATAATATGCCAAGGATCAAGTATGTGTCTCACCAGACTTCACACATGTTCCAAAGAATACATATATGTCCCGAAGGACCCCGTAGACCCTCTACTCTTAGCATGCCAACTATACCCCTAGCTCTCAAGACACATAACATGGGCATTTTCTTTTATACTTATCATTTCACATAACACATAGTTCAATTACTCATAGAACATTTTCATATGATTCACATTTACATATCACATAGCTTATATACTTTCTCACGTAGTTACATAGATCCATGTCATATAACATATATCCCAAAGTGCATATAATCACATATATCATATCATATAGCTTAGATCATTTCTCAGATATTCATATAAACATACATATCATATCTTGTTCACATATGATCATATATGCTTCATATAACACATAGAAACACCTAGAACACTTTCTCATAACCTTTATTAATTTTCAGAGTCCTTTCATATTACCTGATGACATATATCATATAGATATATAATAATTGATATCATATTATCTACCTTATGCTCCATTTCTTTGTATTTCCTTAGATTATAAATTATGTCATATTTCTAAACATATATCATTTAATAGTATTTTTATTTAGGTACTAATTTAATCACTTTACTTAATTCAATTTCATATATTCATTATAATCTTTTTATATAGCTCCATTATACTAATTCTCATAATAAATCATACCACTATGTACTTGTCCAACTCATGTTTCCATTATGCATATACTGTTACCCATGTTTACCTAGTTCATATCACTTCTCATAAACTCACTTTCATCATATTTTCCTATTATTACATATTTTATCTCATAACCATGTATTTACATAGTCTTATATTTCATTATCATATTACTTATATTTGTTCTCTTATGACTCTTAATAAACATCTATTTCTATTTCCCTACATCTCTCGACTTATCTTCTATATTCCTATAATTTCATAATTTATTTTATATTCTCTTAATAACACTTAATCGTGTTTTTACATAAACCACATGGCACATACAAAACATATCAATTCAGATAATCAAACATACATACACTATATTCAACTCATGCCTTTAATCATGAATTCATATGTAACACTTCAGGAAATAGACTCATCGCAAGTCTTATTCCCATCACACCATATACTATTGAATATGCACTCACCTGGTCTCACTAGTCAATCTCGATCTCTAATCTTTCCCCTGATCGATCTTACTTGCCAAATGTTCCAGAATTGCCTTATGCTCGGAATCTTTGCTTATGGCTTCACGGTGGAAAAGAAGAGAATGAAGAAGAGAAGTCTGGAACTCTCTCATATTTCCCACGTTTATAATACTCAGAAAGGAAGATAAAAAATCTTTCCCATGAAAAGACCATTTTGCCCCTTTAGTTCATCCATCTTTGCTGTTTAATCCAATATTAAAATTCTTTACTTAAACCCCAAGACTTTTAAATTTCATTTCTAAATTGAACACAAAACTTTCAAAATTTACAATTTAGTCACTGACCCTGATTTGGGATGTTACATAATTCATGGAACATATTCCATATCACCAAAAGCATATGCATCATATGTATTAAATTTGTTATTCTCTTTTTATTAGCCCATATACACCTGTGAGAACTTAAGGTATGTGAAAACATTGAGGTTGTGCACTAATGTTGTCACCACAGCTCGTATAAATTCCCTAATGGGGCACCGAACATTTGTTCAGTATTTGTCCCGAAGGACCATTAGATACGTCCCGAAGGACTGTCCCGAAGGACCACTATGTCCCGAAGGACCAATATACCGTCGACTCTTGGCATGCCAACTATACCCCTAACTCTCGTATAACATAACATGGGCATTATTATTTATGTTATCACACTTTCACATATTCACATGTATATGTCACTTTCATATAATTCATATATACATCACATAGCACATAGTATAACATATAAACTTATACATGTATCCATATATATACTTTCATATACTTCGAATAATAATGCCCTATAATTTCTCACAGTTTTACCTAATCACTTATTTCACATTAATTATATTCTAGTTTCATATATTACTTAATTCAATTTCACATAGCTTGTTACCTATATAAATATTTTCTCATAATTATCATCACATAATTCCCAAAACAATTTCCTATAGCTTCATAAATCTTTACCATATGACTCATATATTATATGTTCATTTCAGCTCATAAATCCTCTCCGTATAACTTATTTTACATGTTCATATAATCACTTCTGTCAATGTCTCCTAATTTATATATTATTCTTATATTATCCTATAAATCAATGTTATTTAACTTATCTCACTTTTCATCTAATATCATAAGTTGGTTATACAAATTCCTCATGTAATTTATATCATTTCTCTTGTTATCACATAAATCATTACTATTTTACATAGTTCGTGATCCTATAGTCACTTATAATAGCATGTGTCTATCTTATCTCATATCATATAGTTATTTAACTTAAGTCTTAAATCACATATTTATATTACATAACGTATATAATTACATCCACTACTTAAACCAGTTCACATAACTCATCACACTAACAATTATTCACTCAATTCATATAACAGATGCAATACATATAACATATGTGCCCATTTTCATGTACTCATGCAAACATAAGAATCACAATTCAAATAAATTTTAGAAGTCCCTTCCTACTATAGTACTCCATCACTAGCTCATCGCAAGCCAATGTTTATTTGATACATAAGTACAATTTAAATGGCACTCAACTTAGCCTTGCTTTGATTCGATTCTAATTCTTTGATCGTTCCGGAACAAGTTAACGTTTAGTATCTACATAATCACACATGAATTTATATCTGTATTATAACTAATATACTCTAATGATTCACTCCTTAGACTAAAAGAAAAGCAAATTTTGTCTTTCAATGAAGGTATGCATCGATGCACTCTACAGTGTATCGATGCATTCTTTAACGGTGCATCGATGCACTACTTGTGTATCGGTGCATAAAATACATTCGATGTTTCAATATTAAGGTGATGCATCGATACACGCCTTATGCATCGATGCATTAATTGCATTCGATGTTTCTATTATTAAGAAGTTCATCGATGCACTACTTGTGCATCGGTACACCTTCAACAATTTCTGGAATTTAACTTTGATGCATCGATACACATTGAATGTGCAATGATGCACCCTGCCCAGAATCCTCTTTTTGAACCTGAAAATTCATCCATTTTTGCTTAAATACTTCATGTTTCATCCCCTTTTTCATTCTTAACTCCAGTACACATACTTAAACCAATTTATACTCATTTATTTCATCTTAAACCTCCAAATCCTATATTTCATATGAAATTCAAGAATTACCTTAATTTTGCAACATGTGTTAATTCCACTTCTAACACTTTGTATGTCTTAACTAGATTGATAACAAGTCAAATTTAACTTTTAATTCTTATTATAAACTCTATTTCAAGATTTCACTCATGAACTCTAAATCTTTAATCTTCTCTAAGTCCTTTATCTTTTGATTTTAAGATAACTTAAGCTTTCCTTAAACTTAGTTATCATCTAATGATCAAAACCCATACTTAAAATCAACAAATAATCAACTAATCAGAAAACTTACCTTTGCTATGGAGACACTGGAG